TTTAAACACCCACACGATCTGCCTTTTATTTACATCCCAGATTTGCTTCATTTTCTTTCTGTTTCTTTCCTTAAGTTGTTTTATTTTCTGTTAAATGTGCTTCATCATTTTGTGTTTCGATGCTTTCCTCTGTTTTTATTACTTACCGTCTTTATGCATTATGCAGTACCTTTAGAACCGCCTGTAGGTTGTGTACACTATGCCTTGCTTTAAAACTCCAGACGTATGTGATGATTAGTCTCTTTTTCTTCCCTCCTTCATCTCTTGAGATAAAAAAGCTGGCTTTATTAAACTTTAACTTTCCACCATCAGATCATACACTCTTATCACTTGTGTGAGCAAGCGTGCGTGTGGCAGGAGATAGTGTGTTGTAACAGCCACCATTGCAAGTCTGTAATCCTTTAAGCTACACTGATCACTCGGTCTATCACTTTAGGTCTTCTTCAGCTTTTAGCTCTCCGTACGTGATTGAAGTTATGCGAGATAGTGTGTCTGTGTGCTTTCTTTCTTCAGAATCTTGCAGACTCTATTATTTATAGGCTTAGGGAGACAAGGAGTGTGCATGAAAGCACAATTTTTTTGTGTGCAGTGTAGGTGTTGATCATAACCTGCCTGTCGAGTAATAGCTGAACCAAAGAGATGATTGTTAATTTATTGCATGTATAATATCATTTAAATGTCAAATGATTTAAAATTGTATCCCCTTACCATAATTGCATTGCTTTTAATTTTGAAATTAAACACTAACAGTTTAGATTTCCTTAATTAAAAATACAAGCTTCACAGTAGGAACTCAAACACTCAGTACACTCTTCATTATTAGGATTTTTTTCCCCCCAGCTTTTATTTTTTCAGTCTTTCCTGGTTGCCCGGTTTCTGGAGAGCTATTCTGCCATTCTTCAGTGACTTGCTGAGGGGTTATATTGCACTGCCCTTATCTTCACAATTTCCCAAATGAGGTTTCTACTGGATTCAAGTCAGGACATGAGATTTTGCTTTTTTTCTTCTTTGGAAAGTCTTGTGTGATTTTGGCATGGGGTTTTGAGTCCTTCGCATGCTGGAATATTCCTTATTTCTAATATTTCTGCCAAGCTATTACAGACTGGGAGACATGTTGTCAGCCAGTACTTTGGCATATCCACAGGCTTTCAATGTGCCATCTATAAATGTCATCTTCTTTTGGACTGGTGTGGTCCCATATCATAAAACTCCCACCTCCATGTTTCACTGCCAGGACGATGCATTCACTGTAATTGTCTTGTCCAGGTTTTTGGCAAACTCCATCTGTACCTTACAAATGTATCTTGATTTCATCAAACAAAGAATGTGTTCCTATGTTTATTGGGCTTCTTTTCATGCATTTAGCAAAGGTTAATCTTACAGTTTGGCGCCGAGGAGCAAGCAAGGGTTTTTTTTTCTTAGATGCCATCTATATAGGTTCACATCATGCACTGCCCTTCACACTGTCTGAGCAGTCAGAGAAACTCTAATTTCCACTGATAACCCCTGCAAAGTCTGAAGCAGTGCCCCTTTGTTTTTCAGAACTAGTTTGTCCAAATAGTGCAGTCAATGCCATCATTTAGGCGGAAGACCACTGGGTCTCTGATTAGTGGTACTATGGCTTGATCCATTCTTGCCACTGTATTTTGACAGTTTTTTAGTTGTTCACCCAACTGCCTGTGTCCTTGTTATTTTGTTAGACTTTTGCAGGTGTGATGATGCAGACATGCTAAAAGACACAGCTCATAGGTCATTTTATGACCATGTTCATGCAGTTCGGCGAATTAGAAAAATGATATGCCATCTATTTCAGTACGGTCTTTCTAAAGTATTTCTGATTGTTCATAAAAGGAAGTACTCTATTTGTCAACTTCGAAATATTACAGTTATTGAGATACAATTTTTAAACCTTTTCAAGTCTAAGTGATTTCGTATTTGGCTGTACTTGTGTGTTGTATACCATAGTTGGCTGATTGTCAACATCATCTTGTTCACTTTTATGAGAACATTTAGCAGTTTAACAGTTCAATTTACAGGAATGAGTCTGGCTATAAATGTTTTCAGTACCAACCAACATTATTTACTACTTAAATTTGTGCTTTTTCGAAAGCTGCATTTGCTATTGTGGTTGAGCAATGCAGTATGGATTGCATAATATTTAACAACATGTTGTCAGAGTCAGACGTACAGTGTACTGGCAAGGTGATGAAGACAAAGGCTGCAGCAAGAAGACAGGTTCAGCTGGCTGCTGTCATGCTGCACTTGCCCACACAGCACAAACGTAGCTGTAGTTTCTGTGCTGCAGTGAGTTTCATTGTGGACTGTTTTATGTGGTTCACCACTGTGTGGCGATGGGGGACTTTATTCAAACTTTCTATAAAAGACTGATGTCAGCACACTTTAGATGGCAGCTACAGTGACGTAGTATAGGGCTGGGAGGTAATTTGATATTATTATTTTTTCATCTGCAGAGGAAAAGTAGCCTGATCATAACTTCTCATTATATCACCAGTTAACAATGTTTGAGCTTAACTGGTCATTTAGTTCAATTAAATTTGTCAAATTGGGGTTTAAGTAGCTGTCCTGCTACCTGTGGTGAGAGCTTTAAGCCAAGAAACCAATAAAGTGAGAAAATGAAAGCCGAGTGACGCTGGGAAACTTTGTAGTAGCAATGTGATCCACAGTAAACATAGACTGATTATTGACGATAGCTGCCAAAAGCTAAGACAAGCTACCAATGAATACCTCTCCCACACACATACTACATAACGATACATTAACCAATCAGCCACAACGTTACAACCAGTGACAGGTGAAGTGAATAACATGGATCACCTGGTAGAATACAGTTTTCTGGTGGGAGACCTTGGATCCTGGCAGTCATGTTGTGGTAATGATAATCACTTTTAATTCAGCATCAAGGAGGAAATGAGAGGGTGAAGGTGAAGTTGCTGTACTTTAACAGGGTAAATTGGGAGTTGAAGAGGGAAAAACAATAAAAATGTGGTACTTTGATGCGTACCACCTGCCTAACCACTGCTGCAAGAACTGCTCAGGAGCATGACAAACAGCCCAAGGCGTTGACCAGGCCTCTAAACTCCAGATGAACCAAAACAAACCTAAACAATCCTCTTACAAGGCCCCCGTGTCAGACACAACAAGACACCTCCAGAGGTCCTGTGTCTATGACCTGATGTGTAACAGCTGCTCTGGCAGCATCAGGAGGATCGACACATTACTAGGCAAGTGGTTTTAATGTTGTGGCTGATCAGTGTGTCGTGGGCACCATATGCTGTCAGCAGGGATTTCTGACACCCTAGAGGTCAGGAGTCAAAATTAATAGTTAGTAATCCTTGTATGATCTCCAAAGTCTTTCCCATCTGCTCTCCCACATGTTCCCAAGTCCCTCTGCTTGGCATCCAACCACCAAGTCCCTCTTGTGTTTCATGGTTAATTTTACTGCTCTGCCAGAGCTATTCGGGACTCTCTCTGTTGGTGTCCTCTGACCTCTCTCTGTGACTTCTCAATGAGAACGAGAGCCCAGAGCCTGTAAAAGGAGAACAAGATCATTTAGGGGAAGCATCGGCCTGACATTTGATTGATTTTCTCTTTGACCTGACGAACGGACAGGTTGTGTGTGTCTGTTTGTGAGTGTGCATTTGTTTGCCTATCAGACTACGAGAAAAATCCATGGAGTCTGGGGTTGCCGTGGTAACGGTAATCACTTTTAATTTAGCATCAGGGAGAAAGAGAGGGGATAAAGGTGGAGTGGCAGCCGTTTAGTAGGGTAATGTGGGAGTTGTAGAAGGGAAAAACAATAAAAATGTGACACCGGGGGAAAACAAGGTGAGCGCGTGTCCTTGTTTAGTGACTCTGCAAGTGTTTCCAGCGAGTGAGACAGAGAGTGGAGGCAAAACGATAAGACAGAAAGGCTTTATATAAATACCTTTCTTTCTCAATCCCACGGGATTTAAAAGCTCCTCCTCTCTCTTCCCCTCTTCTTTCTTCTCCTCCTTCTCTGCTGGCAGATAATAATCCGTTCATTGACTGCTGGCGAGGGCTGGTATTTGTCCAACAACCTCTTTCTCCTCCGTCAAGCTTTTCCACTCTTTTTAAATTTCACCACAGTGGAGAGAGGAGTGAAAGATATTAATTATGCATTCCCCTTTTTGCCCCAGCTCCACCTCTCTACCTGTCTCTTCATGTATCTTCACTTTTCGCTTTTTGCTCCATTTTTTTTCCCCCCACCTATTTTCCTCTGTACGGTATGAATACATTTAATGAATGAAACCCACAGATAGACTGTGTACGATGCTAATTAATTGGCTTGCTTTGTTTCCTCTGTCACTTTACTCAACCTCCTGCTGGCTCTAACATACACAGATGTATATATCCTCTCAGAAGCTGTCTGCTTTGTGAGCCACGAATGGGGGAGCAGGAATAGATAGAAAAAAAAAACAAAAACAGCATCAACAAGATGTGTGGAGCGTGCAGCTAGAGAAAAACCACCACCTGCCACTCAAGCCGGCCTCCTCGTAGTATACTCCTCTCACACACACACATATACACACACACACACATTCTCACATGTGCGCCGGTCCGTAATTTTCCTCTACACTTTGTTTCCAGCCAATGAGAGTCCAGATCAGGGCAGCTCAGAACGTGAGGGGGAGGAGACAGAGTGCTGCTGGCTGATTGACAGGCAGCGCCCTACAGGTGGAGGGAAGAACGGAGAGGGAGGGAGGGAGAGAGGGGGTTGGAGGGGGGGAGACAACAGAGAGAGGAAGGAGAAGGGGTGAGTGAGGAGGAGAAGAAGAGAGGCGGCGGCAATCAGACTTCCACATACACACAAACTCGCACCTAGACACACACACACACACACACACTCTCACAGTGCTCCGTTCCTCCCCTCCTACCTTGAGAGCTCGCTTCCACCCGGCAGACCAGCCGACTAGCACCACCATCACTATCATCACCTCGACCTCCACAGCTGCACCAAGATGAGCCAGTGCAGGAAAAGGTGCAAGAGGCAGCTCACCAAGGTGGCTCGTTATTTCTACCGCTTCCTCATGGGAACGCTCACCCAAGGTAGGCACCTCCAAAAACTTCCAGAGGTTTGCTGGTGGGTCCGAGTGCAGAAGCCAAGCGAGGGGGGTGGTCTTGAGTAAAGTTTGTGGTGCAGGTGCTGAGGTGCGATCTTGGGTATTTGCAGATGGGTCACTGTCCTGCGCCTGTTTGTTTTCAACCTGAATGATGCTAGAGTAGTTGCAATTCTCATTTGCATAGATCCAACACTATTTCAAAGAGTGTGAGTGGGCTTGCAGGGTTTGATTGTGTCCACAGAGGGTATCTGTGTGTATACAGTACAGCTGAGTGCTTTGTTTCATCTCCAGACAGCAAAACCACACAAAGCTTTGACATCAAACAGTCTGAAGATGGTAGTCATTATTCTCTGCATGGTGTGTGTGTATGCTGTATGTATGCTTGGGTGCATATATATTTTTCGTTATACATAATAATAGAATCAATGATCAGTGTGCACAGTGGGAATTAGAAAGCTGCTTGGGTTGAATGAACTCACTCTTTGCTTCTTTCGATCTGCCTTTTGACTCCCTCCGTCCTCTCTCCCTCCTTCACAGCTCTGTCCTTCTCTCTCCTCCTGTTCTCTCTCTAGCAGTCAAACAGATTGCTCTCTGGAAGCATGTGGCATTCCACCTCCATTGAGAAACTCTCAGTGGGAGAAAGACACACACAGCCTTTTATCCCGCCCTTCATCCAGCTCTCAGTATGACATCAACTCGTCCATCCTCCTCTCCCCTCTATCTCTCTCTGTTCACTTACACACACAACTTTATAATGCTAATCTGTGCACTGAGATTAGAATAAAGTTGTTTAAGCGCGGTCAAAGTCTTTTCATGATACTTAGAAGGTCTTATTTCTTTAATGCCCACATCCTCTTTGTCCTCCTGAGCTTAGAGTTGGCTGAATAAAGTGTCCTTTGCCAGAAATCACCCTTTGTAATGTTGCCTATTGACAGCCTGCTGCTAAGCTTTACACCCATTTCCCTTTTTTTCCCCCCTTTTTCCTTGTGAGTGATATTGAGCAGCAGCTCACATTGCCTTGGGGAAGACACAACAGAGTAGGATGATTCTATTGAATCCCCACAGTTGATCCTGAGGGGTGGAGGTAAAGCTGTGTTTAGATGACCTTGTCAATAGAGCGGTGTGTGAATGCTAATTTGACATCCGTGTCGCTCATCTCCACCTCGGCTTTTCTTCTCGTTATCTCTTCAGACTTTGACATCTGCAAAGCTTCATGTTCGTGCTCTGAAAGCAGCAGTGGGGCAACTGTGGAGAGATACACGTATCCACACTGCCACGTGTGAGTGCGTGAATATGTCTTGATCAAAACAATAACATTAGGGATAATATGAACGCATCCTTTTGGAAAAAATAAACAAAATTCAGTATTTGTGCTGATTAAGATTTTATTGAAATATCAGTGATGCTACATGTGTGTTTTCTAAAGACACCTTCCAATGACAGTGAGCTCTGTAGCCTTGTAGTTGTTTACCATCTTTGTGGTGCTTTTTAGATGCTAGGAGACACATCATGAGCACAATATGGAGTCAACACTGTGGCTGAGCATTTCCTGCTTGAAACTGCAGTGCACCAATGAAACATGAATTCATACTTCTGGGGTTTCATATGTAACAAACCTCAGGAAATAATCCCATCAAATTGAAGGGGGAGACTTTCCGTATCACCAAAGCAGTGGTTGTAAAGTTGCAACAACAAAAATTGGGATTTTTTTTTTTTTTAGTCCAACATAGTAAATGCTTTATTAGCTGCTTGATACCCTAGTCCAGCTAGCAGCTCATGTTATGTATTAACATTACATTATTAACATTTCACAGAGCTCTATATAATATATATATTGCCATACAGACATATCGATTTGTAGGTGGCCCTGTTTCGTTCATTTCTTTTAAAGGCAGGGACCCATTTGCATTTTTATTGATCTGTGCATACTAGTAGAAGCAATGATGTAACATCTAAGATATTTTAAGGCATTAAGGAATTATTTTCATTGACAAAAACAATCTAAGTATGGACTTTATATGAACAGGAATATATTTTTAGGAGTTTAACCAATGCAAAGAGAAGAACATCTGGAAGCTAATGTATGACCAAATACCACATTAAACAACAACATTTGTCACAGTCAAAACAGTACAACTTAAAAACAGATTTTATTTGATAGTACATTATTTTCTCTTGTGAGCTTGCTAAAAAGAGTGGCCTGCTGTTCTTGAGTCTTTTTTAAAACGGTGTTTTGTTCTCTAAGTCTCCAGGAACCAATGGGCTTGGGGCTGAATGGCACAGATTGTGTCGGAAAATTGGAAAGCTGACAGATGGACTGACACATTTATGGTTTTCATGTTTTCTTGGGATTTGTTGACAAGAAACAAAAAAGCCAGGACTGGAGCAATTAAACAAAAACACTATGACACTCTCACCAAACCAAACTAGCCACAAATATAGACTTTAGCAATAAATAAAAAGATAAACAATCAACTTTCATTGTGTTCATGTGCTAATTCATGGCCGTTAAGATCTGTGAAGGAGCTGAACTAATTATGGTGATTGATTTTTTTCGGACATCTGTAGGGTCCATCAGTCACAGACATGCACAAACTGACATATGCATTTATAAAGTGTATAGGAATATTGGAAAATCACGGAGTTTGGCGCCGTGCTTGCAAAACAAACTACTCGCTCTTTAGACGAGTAACTAGCTTCTACAGTCTCAGAGCCAATTTGCTTCCATCCATGAAGTATTTATTAAAAACATTGAGCGTATGACTGCATGTGTGTGCGCACATACACATCCTTAAGTTTACCCAGAATGGAGTTACCATGACTACTGGCTCCTGTGTGTCTGTTCCAATGGGAGAGAGAGAGAGAAAAAGAGAGAGATGTCTGCTTCAGTGCAGTGGGAGCCGGGGAGGGCTGAACTGTATAATGGCTGTGCTACATAGGGATTTCATCAAGGCCATTCAGAGTTTGGTATTTGAGTATTGTGGCGTTTTTGGCTGTGCCAAGGTGCTGAGGGACGTGCCATTTAAGTCAGGCATGGAGAGACAGAATTTACTCGGCTGTCAGACTGTGTGTGAACCTAACAGTGATTTAACCTATGCAAAAAAAAGGGACACATGACATTAAGAAAGCCTCTTGTTAATTGGTGTTTTTATTCCACCTCACTGGATAAAGTCAGTGGACCATGCTGGGAAAAAAATAACTTTTTTATGTATTGTATTCCTACTGATATCATGTGTTTCTGGTTAGACTCGTGTGCCTATAATTAGTTCTGTCAATTGTATCTATAATCACAATCCCCTGCCTGTCCCTTAACAGACCTACACAAGGGCCAGGAGCCTGATTGTGTTAGGGTCCGCTGGTGTTGTGTACATATACATTACTGATTACAGTCATTTGTAATCACTCTCCTGCTTTTTTTTTTTTTTACCCTTCCCTACCCACTAATTAGTTTGTTTCATTAGCCTCTGTAAAGGAAGCAAGGCGGTCTTGCTGGTGTATGTGTTTGTATGTGTCCTCTCCCCCTCCTCTGCCCCAGAGCTTTGTTTCTATCGATTTACCTAATAGAGGGACAAGCGCTGTTTAGTGCAATTAAAATGTTTTAAATACTATTCAGCTCGTTTGCGCTCTCGCACACAAAAACGTACATTAAGTACACCACTTCAAATAAACCTCCACTATCTTCCCTTTCCACTTCTGCTTTGCATGGCACTATCTTAGTGTGTACATGTTGTGGCTTTGGCTGTATAGAATCTCTGTGAGCCCTATTGATCTGTCCTTTAACTAAGCTCTTATCTAACATAAACAGTCCAAGCTGACGGCACAGGTCTCCTTCTTCATCCTGTGCCCTGTCCTCTCCCCCTACAGTGCTGCCTTTCCCCATTGGAGTGACATACTGTACCTCTGCTTTATATTATTATAATGTCTCACGCAGCATGTAAAGGAAGCTAGAAAGCAAAAGTAATCGGAGCTCGTTCTTGCACAATTTAGTAAAATGAGCACAAGATGAAAAAGCAGTCTCTTTGCAATAAAAATGAGACAAATGTGTTGCATTAACTGAAGAAACAGCTACCGCAAACAGCTGGAGTTTGACATGAAAATGAAAATTGTCTAATGTTTAAATGTGTGCAAATATCATACAGTCCCTATATGGTGCCGAAACAAAACAGTGAATCTGTATTTCAGAGTTTTCATTTTATACGATTGTATGGATAATTAGTTACAGTCATGCTTACAGGAAGAACACACCAACAGAATAGTAATGAGTATGGGTATGCTCAGTTTAGGTGAGTCAGGAGGCATTTTCAGAGAGAATGGGAAGACGTTTTGACTCATCTTAGAAGGAAAATCACTGCTATTACTTATAACATTAAATGATGGCTGAGCTGACGTGCATATTACTAAGACCCTTAAACTGAGGCAGCTAACTTGAAGTCGAACTTGTCATGTAAAGACGTGTCAAAATGACTTCCCTCAGCTTCTGCCGCTGGCACATCTAAATGGGATGTAGAAATAAGTAGTAGTAGTTGTGCTTAACAAGTCAAAATCTGTCTACAGTTACTTATCAATGGCTCAACAATCAATCCGTGTCAACAAACTCAGCTTGTCCTTGTTGTCGGTGCATTTTTAACCCGTTTACAGGCAGCTATTCATTGATAGCTAAATGCATTCTGGTTCAGTTTCTGCCAAATAACAAATGGCTGTTTTGCAGTCGTTTCACACGAACAAAATGCAGTTAATTCGTTCTCATCAAATTAACAGGTGACACTTTGTGCCCTAACGACTTTACTCCATAGTAACTGTACACAAACACGGCGATTTGCCTTGTGAATTACTTCAGCTTGTAATAAATAGCCATATTTCATGTCTGAAGATTAATGTGTTTGGCCGCTGTGCAGCGAGCAGCAATACACGCCGCACGTTACGACAAAATAACTCTCTTCAGGTGGTCGAGATCATGCGTTCATTCTTGCAGAGACTAGCTTGCTT